TAGGCCCCCCTCCGATAAAAAAATTCGCGTGGAGGCTTGGATAACATGCGAGTCACGTGTGATGAGCGCTGCGGGTTATGATCGGGTTATGATTCAATAAGTCCCCCAGCTGGAACGGAGCGCATGTTCACTCGCCCGTTGGACCATCCTCCCTTCTTCCGGGTTGTCCTCCTAATTTTCCACGCCATCTTTCACACCGAGCCTTCAGGCCTTTAAGTTTATTTTCAAAAATATACAGCAGCCGATCATAAACGTAAACGGAGTTCACGTGAAATGCTGTTGCGATACGTGGAACTGCAAAAATGCTCGAAAAATTGTGCGCAAAACAAGGGAATTCGTTTAAGTTTCGAGGAGGCACAGTAATTAAAGTTCTTTTGTTTACATTTTTTTTTTTTTTTTTTTTTTTTACCTGGATATCAGAGAATTCCTTTCCTGGCTATCGGGATTTGTATTCACAACTGCATTACAAAGAGAAAAGGATCAAAAAGCATAAAAAGTACGTGGAATGTCGAACGGGTTTTTTCCCTTCACGGGATCGATATTTCATTGGGTGCTCTAATTGTGAATCATCAGAACTCGAAAATAAACAAACGAGTATTAAATGTTTTTCCCGGTGGTAATAATAAAAATCATGAAATTTTAACTCACGCGCAAACTGAAGTAGAAAGTATAAAAAAAATTTAAAAAATAGTAGTTTTCCTACGAGTTTGAAAAGTCTTTGTTTGCGAACCGAGAGGTAACGAGGTTCGAACGAGTTCCGGAAAACTGCTTTTTCGCCCGAGGAAGTACCAGCCTCCCAAAACCACCCGAGGGCGGAAAATTATATTTTCCATTCGAACTTTATACTTTCAATGCTCACCATAGCAATAAAAGCAAAAGTAAATTCGTTCAATAGAAATCGTACAAAGGAGCTCAAATTGTTTGATTAATAAGTTGAATCAAGCAGTACGCGTCGTCTGTAAGTACGTTTGTTTGTTTAAGAGTTGATGCGTCGATACGAGCGTACAAACGTTTATTTGCACTACGTTTTTACCTGTGTGCACGAGAATCATGCGGTTTTTCCTTTTTTCCACTCGCGATTCGTCAGTGAAAAACTTTTCACGCCCACACTTTTTTCTTATCCACGTGATTGATACCGTTGTATTCATTGTACAGCCGCAAATATGTCATCAGCAGCAGCTAGAGAAAGTAGTGGAGTATACGAAAGTGAAGACACGTCTCCCCGTGTATAATCACAACGGGAGCAAGACAAGTGACTTTGACGCTGAAAAAAGAAAGAAAAAAAATTAGAGAGGAAGAATGATGATGGGGGAAAGGGAGTCACCCTTGGATGCGTATTTTCACGGGAAATTGTCGAAATCGATCTGATAAGAGGATTGATCTATGCCCGCGGTAGATATATGTATTTATACTAGTATGGCAATCGAGAGGGAAAGAGGGGATTCCCCGAACTCATGAGAGAGCCGTTTCGATGAATCTCGAGGGGATTCCAGATAATAACGCGACAAAGTACATGCTCTCTCTATCGCTGTTCGCGATGGTTTGTGCAACAGTGTTTTTTTTTCTCTCATCGAATTTCCGATAAATTGTAATTGAGCAAATTTTTAATGCTATCTGTTGTTGTTTTTACCGCGGACTTTTTCACTTTTTCTCGATAAAACAGTTGTCTTTACGAAAGAGTAGTTATTTACTTCTTTTTTTCGACTATTTTCGTGGTTAACTCTTTTAGTACTCGTGACAGAGACACAGAGATAAATAGTATCGCGGACAACAGAAACCAGCTGAGGTGAAAAATCCTCTTGAAAAATATCGTGTATTACTTGCCATCCGTACTCGAGACCATCTTTGCAAGAAAAAAACCTATGTATACATATGAAATTTGTGATGCCTTAATGATTTACAATCGTATACGATATATGAGGAAAAAAAAAATCAAAGCATCCAACTGATGAGACTTTCGGCTGCTGTGCTTATCAAACAGGCCGTCACGTGAGCAATAAGTATACATCGTATTGCACAACCAACACGTTTTTACGAAACGCGTAAGTATACGTATATATGTACTTAATCAACTCGACGTTATAGATACGGGAATCACTTTAAAAATAACAAAAAAAAAAAAAAAAAAAAAAAAAAAAAAAAAAAAAAAAAAAAAAAAAAAAAAAAAAAAAAACAAAAAAAAAAAAANAAAAAAAAAAAAGCCTCACCATACATGATACCAAGTTACACGTTCAGGACGGAAAAATTGCTATGACGTGCAGTAGTGTAGAGATTTTAATGTATACTTTTACGCCTGACTGCAATTTATCTTTTCGCGCGTGTTTTATTGGTAATTTTTGAGTCCCACCAGAACGTACATCGCACGAAAAAATATACGATATTAAAGTCGGACGGACTTTTTACCACTGCCGCTCTGAAACGAAACGGCGATTCAAAGCGACAAGGGTATATACGGTGGTGCGCGTGCTCGGATATGTGACGCTTTTGCGAGAGGAAAAAATAGAAAGTTGGGCAAGAGATAAGCGGAAAGGGGGTGCATCCACAGGGAGGAGAAAAAAAAAAAAAAAAAAAAAAAAAAATTGGGGAAAGGGGAAAAAAAAGGGGGGGGGTTCAGGGGGAAAAAAAAAAAAAAAAAAAAAAAATTGTCCTTACACTCTCGATGTTATTGACCATTTGTTTGCTGGTNAAAAAAAAAAAAAAAAAAAAAAAAAAAAAAAAAAAAGAAAATTGGAGTAAGCGGAAATAAAAGGCCCCGCACTTGGCGCGTGACGTTAACGAGAGAGGGACGAACGGCAGTGTTGCTTTTTCTTCTGGCAATTAAAAAATGACAAACCAAAGTACGTTTCGCGAGAAACGTAGAAACAACAAGAGAGAAAATGTCGGGAAGTTTCACCGCGTGTCGGGAGGGCCTCGTGAGAAATTTGCAGCGCAGGAGGTCCACTTAACAGGAACTGCCGCGTTGAATGTACCTGCACCTATGTGTACTATATGCGGAATTTGCGGCCATATGTGTAAGTGTATACTACATAGATGCCAAGACACGAGTATATGCAACGACGCACTTGGGAGAGTACAAAGACGTGCGCGTAATGCGGCTACTCTCTGCGTAGCTATGTATAATATGCGCGTGCACGGTGGCTTTGTGCATTACCACTGTACGACCGCCACTTCCGCCGGCCCCCCTCGTCCGTTTGTGAATTAGGCCTCTCTGAATTATCACTGCGCGCCTTGTACAGGCGTGTATATACACACATGATGGTGCTCTCGCGTGCATTTCGTCTTTCATCGCGTATATATGCGCGCGTGCATTTAAATACTTCATGACTGCAGTGAGCAGTGCACAGATGAATGTCGGCGGTGTGTTTGAAGGGTATACGAGAGTCAATGCGATTCAAGGACGTGTATCATTTATAACATTCCTCTTACGCAAACCTTGTTGTTGCTCACTTCAAACGCGATATTTATATCTACATTGATTGTGTGCGCGATATGATGAAGGGTACTGGAGGGTTATTGTTATCTTTTTTGGGATAGAGATTTGCTTCTTTTTTATTTTTCGCACCAAAATTGGGTTCCCCTTGGAATACAAGTAACGGATTTTATTGAAATACGATTGAATGAAACTTTATAGCGACGAGCATTGATATTTTTACCCGAGTAGTGAGAAAAATGATGTATATGGGAGCAGGAATGTCTAAATCCATTTCAAAGAGCACACATGAATTACCCATGTCAAGCGCACAGGAGATGACTGCAGCGTAGCTCTACCCATCTCATCATCGTGAAGTACACTTAGCTCTGATGATTATTGAATTTTCAACTGTAAGGCAGAGCTTCACGTGCACGCAAGCACTATCATGCAGTGCTTTTACGGCTTTGCGTAACACGTCTTTGGCGTATTAATGAATTTTTGTACGTACACAACAACTAATGCTCTTTGTCACAACTACTGCTTTGTACACGGACCATTGTTGAATTTTTTTTTTTTTTTTTTTTCAATATTAGGTACATCGGGAAAATATTATAAGGTGATACAACGCATATTCAAATGAGTTATAAGGTTTTTTTTTTTTCTCTTTCAGAGTATCTTTTTTTCACGCAGTTGTATTGGTAGACTGTCGTTTGGCATCTTTTCCGCGGAATATCAGCACTAATGGACTCTTCAAAGGTTTACTTAAAAACTTTGCCCTAAAATCCGATTGGCTTATGGTATAGATAAGTTAGTGGAACATTAGAAGTTCGTTCAAAGACATTCAGATGTTACGATGTTGATTTTTTGAACAAGTGTATACACCATCAAGTACCAATAAACCACTTATATATACGTATGGATGAAAAAGTCTCACAAAGTTAATCTATTGCGTAATATTATCGCAAAAATTTTGAGTCATCGAGAACGCAGTTGCATCGCTAAAAGAAAAAGGAAGTATTATTTTGGTCTTTGTGCTTTAGTACAAGTTGACGAGCTTGAGCACCGGCAGAATTGGAAAGGTACTTTCAAACAGATAGGTAGTCACTGCCTTGTATTCGAGCCCTCGCCTCAAATGAGAAAAGTTGGCCCTGTGTGTTTCGAGGCGAGACGGACTCTTTTATTCAGCCACGCGAGCAGAAAAAAGTAACTAACGAACACAACGGAAAAAATACAAAAGACCAGGAGAGAAGGGTAAAGCTGAGGTCTTGAATTCCAAAGTATCTCATATCACAGAAGAAGAGGATAACAATAGACTCGATACCAGTTTCTTTTGCACCAGCAAGTGATCAACTTTGTCATGCTAAACAAGTAAAGGGTTCTCGTTTCACTAGTGCCCTTTTCAGTACTTTTCCAACTGACGTTTATAATCAAGAGATAAGCTACTAATGCACATTTTACTTACGATGAAAGAGTGTAACGCAACTAAACTAAGTTGGTCATTTACATTTTTATCCTTGAATAAGGCATGGTTAACATCCTTTCTTTGAAAATAAATTTAAAAAATAACAACAAAAGGTAAAACGTTGGCTTTGTCGCAAACATATATTATTTTGACGCTTAAGAACATAGTACAAACAAAGGAAGAAAATTTTTTCCAAAAGTTTCGATATTCAGTCTTTTGGGCGACAAGCACCATGGACCCAAACCTCACTAAGACCACATCGCTTGGCAGCAAAAATTCCTGCTCCACCTGACGGAGTGCACAAGTGAAGGTCAAACCAGCACTCTGGCCTCTTGTAACGAGGATCCATTGGATGAAATTGTGATCTGGCTTTAATTTGTTCCGCCGTGAGCTCTTGCCTAGTTGATCCGCTCGTGTGTGGGCTGCTAAACATACATATAGTTACTTGAGCAAAAAACATCCCAACAACCTGATCTAGGGATGATTATGTTGGATCCTTTCATGTTCCCTTACCTGTTGTTTACTAATTTTTTGGCACTTTTTTTATGGTTAGCATCGTCACTGTTACTATCGTCGTCATTCCTGCCATCATCGTTTATATTGTCACTGTCATGGTTACTGTCATAATCATCACTACGATTCTCATAATCACTGTCACCAGCATCGTCAATCGGAGCAGCACGACATTCATTCATAAGATTGACAAACCATAGCATATTCATGGAAAGTAACATAATCACCGCAATGCGAGACATTTTATTGGTAGAAGAAGGAAAAATCGACCTACGTATACTCTGACGAGCTGTTTGTTACTACTGCCGTTTACGTAAATGCTGAAAGAGTGAGAATATGATTTAAAAAAACAAGTTTCCGTGATGTATTCATCGATATCTATCTATTTCTATTTAACGATTTTTCCCTCGTCCGCTCTTATGTATTATCCTACGATCAAGACGCTTGTGTACAAAAGGTATTCACTCGCACAATAGATAGGTATTTGCTCATGATAAAACAAAACTATGGATTTAAATGATTCATTGCGAAAACTCAACGATTTGCCACATGCATTACAACAAATATCGTGGACGTGCGCGGCACATGAATTTAAAATTTGTCAGTCTCTCAAACGACACGCACCGCGTATCCACACTTCGTTGTGTTTGCAGCGACGAGCGGCTTGTATGCCGGAGTCTTTGTACCCGAATGGCAAACAATCACGAGGATCAAACCAACATTCCGGCTTGCTAAAACGAGGGTCGCATGGATGAAACCTCGATCTGGCATCGATTTGCGCCGAAGTAAGCTTTGGCGTGGTCGATGCACCAACAGTGCTGAAAAGACATCGGGTAGATTTAAAAAATACTTATTGAAATGATATCGGCTGTAATCATGCCTACAATAAAGTTTGTACTACTCTCGCACCTCTTGGGTCTTGATTTTGTTTTTAATTTATCACCGTTTCGGGCAGTTTTACCGTCATCGTTGCCGCAATTGACGTAGTAACTGTCACCATCTCTAACCAGAGCAGCACTACAACCGCGCATTTCATTAAACAATCTTAACACACTGGCAAAAAGTATAATCATCACCACGTTGCTGGACATGTCGTTGACAAAAGAAACACAGAGGTCCGCCAGCGTACTGCAACGAACAGTCGGTAACTGATATATCGTACGTTGATGAGTCAATATCATGACTGTGATTTCAAACCGGTTTTATTGATATCCTGCACGCCACGCTTAACATTACAGTGAGATCGGTACTTTTCCTCTTAAACAATTTTTTTCCTCTTCTTCTTAGCTTGTATATCTTACCGCTTGGGCTTGTTGTTCACTTGGAAAGTTATTTTTAATGTCATTGTATAGTTATCCTGAAAAGATATTTCGAAAGCGCCCGTTTGCTACAGAAGTAGCAAGTCAAGTAGCATTAAGTATTTGTGATGATTTGTATTGACCAAAGTAACAGGAAAAACAACATGTATTTTTGAATGATATGATTATTTAATGATTAAGTGTGCCGCAATGTGTAGGTACCAGCTAAACAGAGGTCTGTAATTGATTGACGATAATTTGTAACTTGTTCGTTGATTACACACATAAATAATGAATTAAGGTTTAAGGGATCATTTTACAAGTTATCAACGCAACTACATGTGGTCAAGTAAGGGTTATCGGGTTATAAATTTAAATAATGGTAGAAAAATACTGTTGTTATCGTTGACAATATCATTGCCATCGTCTCATTCAATAGAGATACATTTTATGGTTGTTGTTATGCACTTGCTCGGTACTGGATTCGTGCCGTAATCCATTTGCGGATACACCTACCGAAGAGTAACGTAGACGCATACAAACGGCCCTTTACGTCATGTATTGAGAAATAAGAGGTGCTATCCTCCGGACAAAAAAACTTCGTATGTACTACTATTACGAGATGGTGAGACATGGGCAAGACGCGAAATCGATCGTACATCGATACATCTACATGGCTTTTTATTGCCTCGGATGGAGATTTCACAGGACGATAAACGCTTTGGATCACGTTGGATTCTCTGTAAAGCGATAAATGTCTGCATAACCCTAGGAGCTTCAATTCACTATGAAAACTCATTTGTAAAGGTTCTCGGGAAATTAAAGTGATGGAATCTTTCTCAAATCATTTGCTCGCCCAGTCAACTTAAATTTCACTGTGTTTCCCGCTACTTCTTCTTCATTTCCATCCTCTAATAAGGTGCCTTATCTCTCGCTGCTATGCTCCTTTTGGACGTTTCGCGGCTAAACCAGAGCATTTGCGCTGATGTAAAACTCAGAGGACGAAATGAGCTTTTTCATGATGGTGCTGCTGTACTTGAGAACACGGGGAAGCACAGAGTCGACGGTCCATTCCTCCTCTTGCCACCTCGCAAAAAGAGATAATCGGAGGAGGAACTGAGGTTCCACATTATTAAAGCTTTTTTACTCACGTGGCGCAGAAAAATAAGCCGAGTCAGGTGGAAGATCGTTTCTCTGGAATATGCAGCTGTCTAATGCAATTCTCGTTTTTTATGATTTTTTACTGCTGTTTTGCAATGAATTTTTTCACGTTTCCATGTACAACTTTGGGGTTTATCTTTTCTAGCGGAGCATTTAATTTTTTTTTTTTTAACTAAATAAATAATACACAATGCGATTGCACCTTGATTTTATTTGAAGGAAGTATAAGAAAAAAAAAAAAAAAAAAGTAAAAGTTGATTACTGTATTTTTATTGATGTATTTTCATCAAGTGTGAACTTTATTTTATGACTATGATTATAAAAACTTTACTGCCGATCCAAGTAACTTAATTTAACGGTGAGTGACGTTCATCTTTAAAAAGAAACTGCTCTAATTTATTACTCATAATTTGTACATTAGTTGCGCATACACGTCGCATAAAATTTAATTACTCCAATTTTATATCCAATTCGTATTCATCGGAGACTTAAATATTTGCGTTATGCGCTATTTTTAATTCCTTGTTTCTTACTGTAAATAGTTATTGTAAAATAATTTTTTAGATGTTTGTGATGAAATTGTTCGCGGAAATCCACGATGACGAAAGGTAAGTCTTAATAGAATACTTTGAAAAACTTTAGCTCAATAAGCTCCAAGTAAGCAAAAAGAAGATGAATTTGAGAGTAAAAACAATTATTGAGATAATTATTTTTATTTTTAAGTCTCTTGATAACAATATTCAGATATTACAGTCATAATCATGCAGTATGTTTACGTTTAAAAAATGCATCCAAACCGAGAGGGCTATCTTTGTTGTTTTCAAAAACAGTTGTGGTCAAACATGGTGGTATCAATTAAAATTACGCAAATTAAAAAAACGAAATAATTATACAGATATTAAAATCAAGTTTATTATTTTTTTAATTTTATGCATATAAAGATGTATTAAAATAATTATTCATGTATTGATACTTAGAATTTAATCGAATTCTTTGCCAAAAGATAAAAATAATAGGCATTCCCGATTATTCATTCTAATTAATAAAGAAAAAAAAAAAAAAAAAAAAAAAAAAAAAAAAAAAAAAAAAA